CTTCACTCAGCAGTTCACATATTCGTTTCTCCGACCTTAAGCAGTGCTGTGATGTGCAGGGTGGGCCCATGGTCTTTGGCTGCCTTTCCTGTCCCGTTGCGTTCTTGTAATTCTCCCCCTTAAGGCGCTTCTCTTTTATCACCTGTCGCTTCCACATGTGACCTTGGACGCTTATGACGTTTAACAGCGGGAGCTTCAAGTGCAGCCTCTTCTTCACTATGTTGAGCCTTGTCTGCATCACTATCATCATCTGGGCGGTCATCTTTCTTAGGTCTATAGTCCTCATCCAAGACAGAGTCATCGTGTTCACTTTCTGACCATGAATCAGGATCAGAATCAGCTCTGGAGGCTTCATCGGCTGTTTCTTCTTCAATCCGTTGCCCGGTGTCTGTCATTTCCTTCTTTCTCACATCTACTGTCATCTAAATCCTTCTCTGAGTCCTTCTCCAAATTGGTATCAAGTTCATTTCCTGACCCTGAAGCAGAAGAAAATAAAGTTGCTGAGTGTTGCTACTTCATCATACCTTGTCGCAGAAATGTGATTAAAAGTTTAAACACACAGTTCCTAATCCCTTTGATTGACTGAAAGTACATTTAGTGTCTAGAAAGTTGAAGAAATATGAACTAGTTCACCAGATGAATCAAAAAGAAGAGCTAATGCTTCACTTGTGGTCAACAGAGCCCTCTGTCTCATGCGGTCCGCCATCTTTGTATGTAGCGTCAAAAATGCCTAAGTCAAAGAGATGACTTAGGCAGATAGTGATTTTGGACTCTAAAATGCGTTCTGATAGGCTGAGGACATAGGCAATAAGGCAGGGTGATGCAGCAGTGGTAGGAGAGTAAAGTTAGGCAGATATCACAATTTGGCCAAAAAATTACTTGGGCAATTATGCTATTAGGCTAACGTTATGTTTTTGTGTGCACTGAGGAGTCTCAAACAGGCGTTTGTTTAATCATTTTAAGATTGGCTTTAATCAATGTTTGCAAATGAATTATTCATATATGATAAATGAGAGGTAACATTTTATTTATGGTATTATTTCCACATATTTCTCTCCATTCTTCCTTCTGCCAACGGTGTCGCAGTTTCTCGTCTCTCTTTGTGCATAGTGCGTACGCATGGGTCAGAGGGCCGCACATTTTCCCGTCAATTAATTTTTTTATAAATCGCAAACAGTGCGTAGAAACTGGCATACACCATCTCTTTTGCGTACGCACGTTTATAAATGAGGCCCCTGGTCACTACCGGAGGACCGAGGATTCGAGGAGTCAAGGAGGGGAAATTAGAGAATTGAGCAACCTTCAGTGTGTTTCAACTAAAGTTCATTTTGCAAGTTGGAACGTTTCCATTCAAATAACTCATAACATAACATAAAGCCCAAAATGGGGTTCTTACTTGGCTCCTGCTACACCCTTTCCGAAAGTTTCATAAAACGTGTTTTTTTCTGTAATCTGCCTGTTCCTATTTTAGCCAGATTTATTGCATTTTGTCTCCTTATGAGACATTGCAAAAAGATATACCATACCGTATGTATGATTTTTCTTCTTTTTTTAACACCCGATTGCGAGTTTAAAAAAAAATGTTGATACAATTAACTTCTGCATGTATTCACTGTTTTCATGACTGCTGTAAGTCTATCCTGTCTTCATGTCTGTCTCTGATAGGTCCATGCGATCTTCATCAGCAATGACATGCGACTGAACAGCTGGTTTGATCCATCGTGGAGAAAGAGGATGCTGCTGACGCTGAAGAGCAACAAGTACAAGTCCAACATGGTCCACATGCTGCTGGGAGTATCCCTCCAGATCTGCCTTACAAAGAACAGTACCCTGGAGCCTGTCCTCACCCTCTACATCAACCCCTTCGGAGGGAGCCACTCAGAGAGCTGGTACATTCCTGTCAATGAGAACAATTTTCCAGACTGGCAGGCCACCAAGTTGGACCTGCCTTTCGAGTGCTATAACTGGACTCTGACGCTGGGCAACAAGTGGAAGACATTCTTTGAAACCATTCATATCTACCTTCGGAGCAGGATAAAGACTCAAACTGGAGTGAATGACAGCTTATATTACGAGCCGTTAGAAGTGACAGATCCCGCTAGGAACCTGGGTTATATGAAGATCAACAGCATCCAGGTCTTTGGCTACAGCATGCACTTTGATCCAGAGGCGATCCGTGACTTGATCTTGCAGCTGGACTACCCGTACACCCAAGGGTCCCAGGACACTGCCATGCTTCAGCTGATGGAAATTCGAGACCGGGTGAACCGGCTGTCCCCTCCTGGTCAACAGAGGTTGGACCTGTTTTCTTGTCTTCTGCGCCACCGGCTCAAAATGACTGCAAGCGAGGTGGTTCGCATTCATGCCACTTTACAGGCTTTCAGCTCACGTCTGCTCAACACAATGGATTATGAGACCACCAAGTTATGCAGTTAACAGATACTTGAGGGATGTCGGGACTGTACACAGCCTCAAGGAGAACTCCTGGACATATGAAGTGCCCGTGGGGTGGAGATGATTACGGGTGTGTTTATGGATTACCTAACTGTAGGATAAATCAGGAGAGAACCGACTGTGGACAGCTGAAGATTGTACTTATTGGGTTGTTTTGGTTTCTGTTTTGTGGCAACCTTTTTCAGTGCTATATGATTGATGGTGGATCACCGAGAAAACGCACAAGAACAAACTCTTTAACACAATAATTCTTCATTACAAATTCAAATTCCAATTCATAAAAGTTGAACCATCCTGTTTCAATATGACTATGCTCATTTCTACTGCAACTACCAGTGCCAAATGAATGGACATTTTATGGTAAAATTAAAATGGTACTGTCTGTTTGTTTGTAACTTTTATATGTTATTTTGCTTTAGTGACAGTGCACTTTCCATGAAGACAAGAATGCAGTGGTGTAAGTCAGTATTTTGTAGATAAATTGATATTAAAACATCATGTTATAAAAAATTCCAGCTGTTGGAATATTTGTCATCATTCATTTAGCTAGCTTTCTTTACATACATTTCATGAAGTAATTGCATACACTGTAAGCAGCCTTTTCAAACATCAATCTAAAGCTGTCACTGATCTTGGATGGGTAACTGATACACTGATTAGTCTCCATGTTACTCCATTAGTAATGATTAATCAACTGAGACACACGCCTACATTTCTCCTATATCCCTTTCAAAGGCGATTTTTAAATCTGCCCATCTTTTAGAAAAAACAGCCCTTGTTTAAGTTAAACATTACTTGTTATCCAAAGGCAAACTAGTGTATACTTGAAATGATGCAATCTGGACAGAGCAAGACAATCATTTACAGTACATATGAAATCTCAAATACAGTGATTTAGGCTACTACACAATGCAGATTGGAAGTGAGTAAAAGGCAGAGGTCAGCTACAACAGGGGTTCCCAAACTTTTCAGCCCACGACCCCCAAAATAACTGTGCCCCCCCCCC